GACTACAATATATTTCTGAATTGTTTGAGTGAATTGCTCTTTATTTTTAAAATATCCAAAATTAAAAAAAAGCCGAACACAATTTTGAAACTGACGTATTTAGCTATATGACCTGTGACAATTTGAGAAAAATTGGTTAAAACCCGCAGGAGCACAACTCGTTTGAAAATCAGTAATTACCGTAAAATTTTTCGGGAGAAAATTGAATTTGAATATTACATTTTCAATGTTTTTCTTATTGCAGCGAAATGTATTTTATTAAATAACTCTGCGAGTTGTCAACATTTTTCGTTCAAACTTGGTCAGATAGTAGAACTAGTCTAATGCTTTCATTGAAACCAATAAAAAAATTTTAGGCAAAATTAACACTCAAAGGTGTTCTGTAACCTTAACCTCTCTAATATCTTTTATAAGGTCCAGACAACGGACGCGATTCAACAACGCGACGCGATTTTTCGATTTTCACTGACCGATAACTTTGATCCTAATTTAAATTTTCCAAGTATTTAGAAAGTTAACGTTATAACATTTTACGTTATTTGGGCTACATATCTTTTAAGATTTGCTCTCATTGGCTGTTGTATTAACTTTCAAAAACTAAAAAATCGCGTCGCGTTGTCGAAGCGCGTCCAGTCTGTCTGGACCTTCAGACAAAGCCAAGGCGACTTTTTAGGCGACTATATTTTCATCCCTTATATACGCATTCCGGTACTCCGAAGTTGTTTAAATTGCTACGTTATTTCATCATTTTCACGCCGGACTAATGACCACGCCAGCAGAGTAAAACGTTCAAGTCGTTTGGGGTGTTTTATGTGAATTCACTAATTATTGTTGCTATATATTTCAGGGTTGTTTTGGGTTGTTTAATTAAAAGAAACTGAGATAAGTGCTTTTATAAGTTTAGTATTGTATGTTTTGGCTCGAATACAAAAGTATAAGTCATTTTGTTTTCTGCCATCGCCGTTTTCTGACCTGCCATCGCCGAAAACTAAACAGTACTCAGTAGCGGCAGCGAGTGCAAACAATTTTGTTTCTATGACATGGGGATACGCAGTCAAAATAATTTATCTTTATCAGTTGTACTTACAATAATCTATATTGTATTTCTCGATCTCCAAAACGCACAGTGTATGTTTCAACTAGGCCAAAGGCAAAGATATATTTTTAATGATGGAAATATCTATTTCGTATGCTCTATTGATCGTCCCGAAACCGCAATATATATATTAAAATCTGTGAATGTCATATTAAGCCCTTAACAGTTGCTTAATATAAGTTGACGGGGTGAAGAGTTAATATGTATAGGAAATGTTATTAGCCAGGTGAAAAATGAGGTAATATGCTAATAAGACTCCTAGAGGTAATAAGGAAGCTCATGCATGTGTAAGGCAATAGAAGTAATATAGTCTTTCCTTCAAAATGCGCTATACCGACCAGTGAGAAGTATTACACAAACAGAATATATGAAAAATGCAATGGCCATCCAACTCTGATTATATGCAAGGCCAATATGAAGAAAAGTACAGCTGTCAATGTCACTGATGCCATAACTCAAAACATTAATTATTGTTACAAAAGTTAAATAACTACGTCATTTTTATTCACTGCGTATCGATCACCGCATCCCTAGCTCAAATATTAATAATAAACAGTATCAAAATTGGCCGGGTATTCCATAATCGCTTCTATTTCTGCGGTAAACACGGGATAATTTCTGCGGTAAACACGGGATAATTCATAGGCGTATCGGCCAGTGGCATGGGGGGGGCACATGCCCCCCCCAATTTTTACGGTGGGGCAGAAATCCATGCGTCATTAGGACAAAACATAAAAATATCGGAAAAATTGTGGTATGTCCGGAAAATTTTTTTGTATGTTTGCGAAAATTACGGGATATTAGGGGAAATTTTTTGACATGTCGGGAAAAATTCTTGTAAGTTTCCGCTCGCCAACAATTTCGGGGAGAAATATTAATTAGCGACGGTCAGGCAACCAATGATCCCCCCCCAAACAAGATTAGGCTCCTACGCCCATGCGGGATATAGACTATGTATATAGTTTTAGTTTATAATTATTGTTATGTAAAATACCTCGTGGTCTTGCACTGTTGCAGACCTCAAGTCATGGATATTTTCGGACAACTTTTGTAGCCTGCTAGTAAAAATATATACACGTGCGCGGACTAAAAAGGCAGAAAATCATAAAAGAATATCCGATATTTTTTAGTACAGCAAGTAATCTAAGATATTGTCAGTGTCATCCAGCGAATGAAAATTATGTCTGGTCATATCGGCAGGAAAATATGTAACTGCATGAGCATGCATATTTTGGTCAATGTGAACATAAGACTATTATTTCAAATGCAAGGTCTTAAGGAGATCCGCTTTAGCACATCACAATATCAAACGAGGTTGAAAGAGGATAACAGAACATAAGTATTGAAGCTTGAAAAATATGCCTGGCCACGGTGGGAATCGAACCTACGACCTTTGGAATACTAGCCCACACAGCATGCACCAACACAGAAAAAATCATATTACTAGATTGCATTGATATCGAAGGAACTAGACTCAGTTCCGAAATATCACATACTTGAACCGACCTGACCGCGTAGCTCAGTTGGCAGAGCATTGGGCTAGTATTCCAAAGGTTGTAGGTTCCAGGCGTATTTTTCAAGCTTGCCCGGTGTGGATATACACTCAGAGTAACATCACAAACATCATATTCACCTGAGTACACAGCACCATGCAACACAGAAAAAATAAGATTCTCCACATGTTACCATTGTAGGTGTATATCGAGTGTAAGTGTTCATGTTATGTACTTCTCAATTTAACATTTTCATTGGCGACTTTTATAATATAAATTAGTTGAATGAAGCCAATAGAAGGCCTTTTAGCCTTTACTGATATAATCAGTTCTTGACTTTGTTACAAATTTACCAGAGTAACAAGCCAAGTCATGCATATTGGAAACATTTCTCTGATCATAAAGCCGTATGCATGTGCATTGATTAATTGCTTTCATTTAAAGCAAATTAATAGTAGCTGCATAAAGAACAAAGATTCAGCTTCAGATTGGAATATCAATACTTGTAGCACGGTAACAGTTGCAACCAGTCATAATTATTAACTTGCAGTATATAACTAGATATATATCCTGGAAAGGGTGCTCCCTTCTTCATCCATCCCGATGTCTGCAACTGAATGTCATAGCCAATTAAGTACCTGCACTCTGCAGGTAAGCAATTTTATACCTTCTCCTACCTCATACTACATTGTCTTACAATCAACAACATCCATATATATATGTCATAATGGTATCTTATTAATAGCACACAATGTACAAAACTAGACCTATTCTGTTTATTGGATTTTCTTCTATGACACAATATTACAGCATGGCCATGGATCTGGTATGCTGAATTATATCATTCTATATAAGAGTTATATGCACCAATTATACTTCTAAATTCCATACTTATCATTTGTCACTGATGAATGACCTTCAATATTTGACCTATTATGTATAATATATTTACCTGGCATAAACAGTTGATTCGTGCGCCATTTACCCTGATTATCACATATCAATTATGGTATAAAAAGGCTTTCAAAACTGTGCAAGTGGTGTATTGTCAACATCTATGCATCTACATTCTACAATGTTCTTGCATGCCTGCTAAAGTTTATTATGAACTATCATGCAAGAAGATGTTGAACCCGACATGTTTCAAGAAGAACATCATAAACTGAAAACGTAAAGATTCAACAAGAACATCATAAAACTGAATATCATCTTTGTGAAGTTATGGCCGGAATTAGTTTCAGCTGCAAGTTGAATATATATCAGCCTTTTTTTTCGTATGACATACTATGAATCTAACCTCGATCATTTAACTATAGTCAACTGTGTATAATATATATTTCTGATGTTTATAGAAAAATACGTATATCCATTTAATATCTTTACAAGCTACTGAGTATTGATTGAACTCCTTGACAACAATGCCATCACCATGAGCAGATACATGTACGCTTAGCGTACCTATTTTTAGCTTGGCTATGTGTGTTCTAATCTTACTATCAACAGCATATCTTTTGCCCTAGATGTTCCATGTTGAATGAATGATTTCATCTGAGTTAGCTGCAGTAAGTACAGGATTGTGGATTCGTCTTATAGTCCCGTATTTACGGCATGTAGTAAAACACGGACTACCGGAACACCGGAACACCACCGGAACACCGGAACACCACCATTTTGTTTGGGGTTGGGGTTAGGGTTTGGGGTTAGGGTTTGGGGTTAGGGTTTGGGGTTAGGGTTGGGGGTTAGGGTTGGGGGTTAGGGTTGGGGGTTAGGGTTGGGGGTTAGGGTTAGGTGGTGTTCCGGTGGTGTTCCGGTGTTCCGGTAGTCAGTGTTTTACTACATGCCCGTATTTACCGATAAAATGAAACGCGCATTTTTCTGCCGATATGACCAGACACTTAATTTTCATTCGCTTGGTGACACTGACAATACCTTAGATTATACTTGTTGTACTAAATAATTATCGGATTTGCCCTTTCTTTTCTGATTTTCTGCTTTTCTAGTTCGCACACGTGTATATATTTTTACTAGCAAGCTACAAAAGTTGTCCGAAAATATGCAAATTTGTTACGTGGCAGTGTCATATTACTCATCGCAGTAAAGGTGGATTGTGACAAACCAATACGGGGCGATGGTACTAATTCCGCTTGGCTATTTACACCCAGGAAAGTAAAGCATTAGCGAAGTCTAAAGTTCATCAATAATCGCGGGCGCGTGGCTATGGTTCATGGGGATCAGTACTCATTTCCAAACCACCAAACTGACATGACGTCATTGTCGGAAGATGGAAGAGGTGTTACTGTGAATGGCTATGTAACAAACCCAACCTTAACCAAATTAATCAAAGAAAATCCAAAAATAATCTGAGAAAATGACGTAAGTTTGATGGAAACGAGTGAAAACCGTTCATGGGTGGACCTCCTACTGATCTCAGAAATTTGGCGATTGTCAGTAGTGGAATGCATGAGTTGGGATTGAAAAACATCAATGAGAAACCCTAAAAGTCGTTTAATGGGAGGACCAGGCAAACAAACAATCAGTTTATTTCCTTTCATTTTAGGCGGTCAAACTGATTCGTCATTGTGCCCTAACGGCTGGATTCACCTAGTTTCATCATGTTACTACTTCAATGCAACAAGAACAATGACGATGTCCAAAGCAAATTCTTCTTGTCAAAATCGAGGTGGAGATCTAGTACTTCCACGCAACAATACAGAACATGATGCTATCTGGAAAGTTGCGAAAGAAAATAAACTTATTCAGCCTTGGATCGGCCTGCATGAAAAGCAACAAACAAATATATTTTACACCCTTGATGGGAAACTACCATCTTATACAAACTGGGGATCGAATCAACCAAATCTCGGTACAGCCCATGGAGATGAAAAGTGTGTGGTTTTTTATGAATCGAATGGCAAATGGCATGATGTTACATGCAATAATCGGCATTCTTGTATTTGCCAGAAAACATGTAAGTCTACAATTTTATTTACTTAAGTTATTCACAGTCAATAATTCATGAAAACATTTTAAATCGAATGATGAATGTTTAATCAATATCTGTAATATACGCGGATACAGATTGCAGCGTGATTTACATATATTAAGATATATGTTATTGACTGAGCGAGAGGTCTGGACTGTAAGATATTAATTAGTTGAACTGTAATATTTTGCTCTCTTGATACTAACGAAAAAAGAATGAGTAGGGTTCCGGTTTTACAAACACCCGAGGGTAAAGACCCTGGCTGCGAGGTTGGTGGCTGTTGAGCCGCGGTATTCTGTAGTGGTGGTGTTGAATTGACGACTCGCCACGCGCGAACTCTCATATTTGATATTTTTTGTTTTGCTTAGCTTGTACCAATGTAACTTGTCTGAACGGTGGGATTTGTTTGAATGGTACATGCAGGTAAGCGGTAAACTGTTGGCGTTTTGTTGTGTGCGAGTATGTTGTTACGTTGATCAGTCAATGACATACGCAGTGTCAAAATCGGAAGATTGTTTTGAATTTTGAATTTCAATCTCTAAATAGCTTTAAAGTTCAACGAAGATATTATAATTATGTTCATTCGAAGTTGCCCAACTATCTAACAATTCAGTATTATTATTCCGAACTCCGAAGCAACACCGTAAACCTCTGAATATAAGCCCACCCGAATATACGCCACCCCCCCCCCCCCCCCCGGGGAAAGCCCACCATATTCATGCACTAACGCTCAGGCCATTCCGAATATAAGCCCTCCCGAATATAGGCCCCTCCATGTACAAGCCCATGCCCATGGGCTTAGTATTGGACAGGTATTTATTAACGCAGCGATGGGGATTCCAACAGCTCAGACGAATGACAATTATAATGACATTACTGTATTATAACATATGTTAAACAACTTGTTTTATGTATAGATTATATACTGTATGTTTCTATTTCTTTTCGTTCACGGTATAGTTTACAGGTACAATACATATTAATTATTACTAGCATCAAATGTCGCCCGTATATAAGCTCCTCCTGTATATAAGCCCCCCCCCCGTATATAAGCCCTTCCACGTATAAGCCCATCAAAAAATGCTTACGAACGAGTATAAGCCCAGGGATTATATTCGGAGCCGGTTTACGGTATTTTCTGATAATATTAAAACAAACTTAAGAATAAATCTACAAGCTCGAAAACATGACGTATATGCGCTCACTATCAAGATATATTTAATAGTATATATATTATTGTCTTATTGAGCTTTTAATAATTTCCACCTGATCACCAACTCTTAATTGTATTTGTATTATTATTATTATTATTATTACAATATTTCAGTAGGAAGCTACACTCACAACAAAGTGATTTTCAGGCAGGTCCTACGATATCAATTAAAATACAAATAAAACTACATTATAATAGCATATATAAAAAAGTATGTTTAAAATTATATCAGCATAAAATCGTATATAGAGTTCTTAAAAGAAGTCAAATTGTTCGATTATCTTTGGTCTAAATTAATATAGAGTTCTTATATAGAGTTCTTAAAAGAAGTCAAATTGTTCGATTGTCTTTGGTCTAAATTAAGGTTATTCCAATCAACGACTGCTTGATATACATAGCGTTGTTTTCCCCAGTTAGTACGCGAGCGTGGAAGATGTAAATCCTGACGGCGGCGTGTGTTGTGGGAGTGAATTTCAACGTTTTGAACTAGGTTGAATTGATATTTTATATACTTATTTATACATTTATAAATACCAATACAACGATGATGGCGTCGACGTTCTGATAGAGGCGTCGACGTTCTGATAGAGGCATCCAGTTTAGCTGTGCGAGGGCTTCGGTACCGGAAAAGTATTTGGGATAATCCAGTATAGTTCTTGCTGCGTTATTTTGCAAAACCTGGAGATTATGCATTAGGACTTTATTGTTCTTGTCCCCCCACACAATATCTGCATAATCAAATAACGGTAAAATGAGACTGTTATATATCGCCAAACGACCATGTAGAGGCAGCAACACGACGCAGCACGCTTCTGCAATTTTATACACAAACCTCAGCCAGCTCTCATGATGTTATAACATTTTTAACAGCTGCCATAGTGGCTTCACTGGGAGCCGATGTGATGTGGACATTGACGAATGTAAAGAATCTCCTGGAATATGTCAGAACAGGGCAAATTGCACTAATACTAATGGCTCGTACACATGCACTTGCACTTGCACAGCTGCATACACGGGAAGAAACTGCTCAATAAATATCGATGATTGTAAGACGGATGATGGTTCATCAAAATGTCTGAATAATGGTACATGCATTGATGGGGAGGATAAATTCTCCTGTAAATGTCAAGACCCATATTTTGGTATGATGAATATTTTATTTATTTCTATACAGTACAAATTACGAAACAATATATAAAGACATGGCTGCAGGACTGCATGTCATCACAACAGCACAATTATAGACAAAGTCCGCAGGAGCGATCGACTGATCTCTGATGCACTAGAATAAAACTGAGATGTTTTGAAACTACATTTGCATTCCCTATGTATATGGCTATGGGAGAAAACGCGCCGAGAAAACATTAATTGAACCAACGGCTTTCTGCATGCAGAGCATTGACTATATAGCTCTCTTCACATGAATGTATGTCTTCCATCCGGAATGAGACTATTGAAACCCACAATCTTGAGGTACTAGCAGTTACTTTGACGACTCCGCCATCGAACATTGCTTGGAAATCAGCGGGCGCCAATTTAAGCCTGTTTTCCACTACTACTAGCGAATTTTTTCGCGCGAAGCGACCTTTTTCATTTGTCGGCTTCCATTTTGCCACGTCTTTCTGACGTAATAAGTGATACCGACAAAGGAAAAATGTCGCTTCACGCGAAAAAATTCGCTAGTGGAAAACGGGCTTAAGTCGCCAAATGCGTGACTAATATTTCTGGCGACCATGCATATATTTGCCAAAGGTGGCCCTCGTCCAGCGACTGAGAAACGGCTTAAAATAATACTAAAGCCTTAAAGTGTCAAGCACTCACAGTCATTCTCCTTTTACATAAAAAATGCCAACATATTAAACAACTGTTTTATCTATATACGATATGGCAAGACACATACATTTTATATAAGAAGAAGTGCAACAAGGAAAATAATTCTATGACCCTGGCAAAACACACAAAGCTTTTATTTATATATAGTTTGGAAAACATAAAAGAAAACAATGCATTATATTCATATAAACCCCCTCAGTTTAAAACGTAACTTTAAAAAAACGACGAGTGTAATTTTTGGAAAAAACGTCGCGTGCAATTAATCATTGCATTGAAAAAAACGCCGCGTGTAATTATTTCATTGAAAAAACGTCGCGTGTAATTCTGAAGAAAAAAACGGGCAAGTGTAATTTTGAAGGAAAAAAAACGAGTGTAATGGTATAAAAAAACGGCGAGTGTTTACAGTCATGGCCCTTCTCGGCCATCGTAAAATACAGATACAAACACAAAGTACTTATAATAAACACATGAAACGAAACTATAACAATCGCATCAGCACGAAAACTGGGTACATTTCCAAATTACTTTGATGATAATATAATATAGGAGAAAACGAAGATTTGTACCATGTTGTAATGCCTCGCTATGTTGGAATGCTATGCCTATGCAATATAGCGCGAACCTCAATCTTGATTTTTGTTACTACCACCTAAAAACCCGGTCATAAATATTTGTCTCTGTATGCCAGTTCACCACCATATTGCTTCCTGTGCAATTCTTTGAGCCTCCATATTATGTTGCCCACATATTTGCCAAAAATGAGAGACAAAGAACAACACTGAAAATAATGAGTTAGAGACCGTTCATTATTTATACCCTAGTCCTAGAGTGTGTGTGGGTTGGGGATCATAAAAGTTCACAATTGCTTTTGTTGGAGTCTTGGGGAGCAAGGGAGGTGTTAAGAAAACAAAATAGAAAATTGTGGCCCCTGTTTAAATGTGAAAAAAATTCTGTGGAATAGCCAGTTCCCCTTATTGCGTATTCTGAACACAACTACCGGAATGCTTTTCGGACGTGTCATTGCATAATGAAGAAAATACCCGCAAAGTATCATGGTAGTTGTATTCAGAATACGTAATATAGTCCGGACTCTCACTTAAACGATGACTAGAATCGCATCATGTGTGAATGTCTGATAGGCAG